ACAATGATTGAGCTCCGAACACCACCAACCGTCTAGGGCGCCCAAGCACCCAAGAGGAACAAGCTCAAGGGCACCAAGCACCCAAGAGTAATAAGCTTCTCAACTTGTAACTTCCACGTATCGCGTGGAGAACTCAAATCGATGCACCAAATGCGATGGCAAGGGCACACGGAGTGCCCAAGTCCTTCTCTCCCAAATCCCACCAAAGCAACTAATGCTAGGGAGGAAAATGAGAGGAAGAACGAAAGAAGAGCACGAAGAACTCCAAGATCTAGATCCAAGGGGTTCCCCTCACTTAGAGGAGAAAGTGATTGGTGGAAACGTGGATCTAGATCTCCTCTCTCTTTTCCCTCAAAAACTAGCAAGAATCCATGGAGGGATTGAGAGTTAGCAAGCTCGAAGAAGGTCAACAATGGGGGAAGAACACGAGCTCAAAGGATAAGGTTCATTGGGGAAGAAGACCCCCTTTTATAGGAGGGGAAAAATCCAACCGTTATGTGCTCAGCCCGCACACGAGCGGTACTACCGCTCCACGAGCGGTACTACCGCTTGGGCGGAAGAAGCAGGGAAAACGAGCAACACAACATGAACCTTGGAACGGTAGTACCGCTCATCCCAGTGGTACTACCGCTCACGAGCGGTACTACCGCTCCTACTGCTGCTTCTACTGCCGCTGAACCCGACACGAGAAAACCATGTCTCGAGTCGAGGCGGTACCAGTGCGGAACCGGAGCCGTACTACCGCTTATGGCCATGGGCGGTACTACCGCTGTGGGACAGCGGTACTACCGCTTGTGGCGATAAGCGGTATTGCCGCTCCGGCCCAGCGGTACTACCGCTGGCGCCATCCTTATGCCATTTCCGCGAAAACAAAATATTCTCCAAGGAAAACCAGAACTGCCATAACTTCTGCAAATGAGCTCCGAATTGAGCAAACTCAAGCTTGTTTGAAACAAGACAACGAGTAGCATCAAAACAACGACTGGTTATAGAAGAAGAGGCAGGGGAGGTATGCTTAGCAAACAAAGGAGTGAAACCTCCAATAGAGAAGAACCGGCATACCCTCCAACATCGAAAACATCATAGAAGATGCACGTGAACTCCGTTTTCGATGAACTCGAGCTTGTCATAAAAATGACCATACGCTCCAAATCTCACAAGGAGAAGAACCAAACAAGAACCAAAAAGTTGATGCAAGGATGCAATGGTTTGAGCTCTCTACGAACGATACGATCAAGCAACTCATCGAGAGCCCCCCTTGATAGTACGGCAATCGATCCTATAACCCGGTCTCCCATAACTACCATGAGACCGGTAAAATAGAAAACCCATCAAGGGCAAACCTTTGCCTTGCACATGGTCCACTTGAGCTAGATGATGACGATCTTGACTCCCTCAAGTTGGACCACCTTTCTTGATTGCGTTGGCTCGATGAAGACTAGTTGATTGCTCCCCCATACTCCACTATGGGTGAGCCACACTTCCGCACATTTTCACAAGTCCATCGTCACCACAATGGACGGCAAGCTTCAAGCATTTGATCTCTTCATGATGCTTCACTTGAACTTGCACACCACAACCTAACCCCACAAAGAACTCTCACGAAGATCATGGGTTAGTACACAAAGCGTAATTGACAATGCTTACCATACCATGGGATCGCTTGATCCCTCTCGGTACATCTTCTATGCTTTGTGTGTTGATCAACTTGATTCATTCTTTGACTTAGTCTTGATCAACCTTGAATCTTTCCAACTCTCTTCATTTGGATGATGTCTTGAAGGTAAACATGAATGATCACACAATCTTCTTCTTCAAGACATGCTTGCAATAAGTTCAACACTCACATGACCGATCTTTGGATAATTCCTTAATAGCACCGTGGTCATCAGAAACTCTCCTTGAGACCAACAAATGGACTCCAAGAAAAGCCTATGGACAAACCCTTCAAATATAACTCAAGGAAACCATTAGTCCATAGAGATTATCATCAATTGCCAAAACCAAACATGGAGGCACCGCATGTTCTTTCACGGGAGAAATCATGTTGCAAGTAATCACGTGAACTTGATATGTGTTCGATATTTTGATAGTATGTATGTTATGATTTCCTTAGTGGTGTCATGTGAACGTCGACTACATGACATTTCACCATATTTGGGCCTAAGGGATGCATTGTGGAGTAGCAAATTAGATGATGGGTTGCGAGAGTGACAGAAGTTTAAACCCCAGTTTATGCGATATTCCGTAAGGGATCGATTGGATCCAAAAGTTTAATGCTATGGTTAGAATTTATTCTTAATACTTTTCTTGTAGTTGCGGATGCTTGCGGGAGGGTTAATCATAAGTAGGAGGTTTGTTCAAGTAAGAACATCACCTAAGCACCGGTCCACCCACATATCAAATTATCAAAGTACCGAACACGAATTAAACCAACATGATGAAAGTGACTAGATGAAATTCCCGTGTACCCTCAAAAACGCTTTGCTTATCATAAGAGACCGTTTTGGCCTGTCCTTTGCCTCAAAGGGATTGTACTACCTTGATGCACTTTTGTTACTACTATTGTTACTTGCTCATTACAAATTACCTTTGCTATCAAACTACTCTGTTATTTACAATTTCAACACTTGCAGACATTACCTTGCTGAAAAAGCACTTGTCATTTCCTTCTGCTCCTCGTTGGATTCGACACTTTTACTTATCGAAAAGAGCTACAATTGATCCCTTATACTTGTGGGTCATCATATACCATGTCAGACATTTCCAAACTAAGAACTCTGCTTATAGGACTTAACCAACTTGTTAATACAAACATGTATTGGACAACTCTTACAAGCGCTTTTTTCAACTTTGGTCATGATAACTTACATAGTCCACATGTGGTAACTTTTAACAAAAAAAAACATCTGGACATGCCAACACAAGATCTAGTTTCGAATCTCTCGTCGCGATGATTTTTATGTGAAAACAATTTTCGATTGAACAGACGGTTTAAGCTAAAAAAATTTAAATTTAAATTTTCATTGAAATCTTTGCTGACTTCATAAAAAAAATTACGCGTGCATGCATATTTGCTCGTCATATACATCTGCATGCAATTAGGCAAAATAGGTTGCATGCAAAAAATCGGTTGCATGCAAACAAAGGATCGTATAGTGCTGCGTGGGATTGTTCAGGTCCGTTCCTAACGGCCAATCAGTCGAAAGTTATTGTTGTCCTTTCTCAAATCAATGAGAGGCTCCGACTCAAAAAAAATAAAGGAAAAGCTTGCGTTCAGCCAATCGATCTTTTCTTTTGTGTCTGTCGCGTCCTATACTTGCCACGCGTCTTGATTAGGCCCGCGCACCGCATCTGTTCTTCATCCTTATCTCCATGAAACGCTGGTCACTAATTAATTTCTGTAGCTACTCCTGCAACTGGTCACCTGTTTCAGAAAGTAAACCGCAACAAATGCTATGTTGCGGATCATTTGCCGGTCCTTTTGCTTGACATGTGGCCACCCACGTCTTATCTCTTCATCATCTTATCTCTTTTTCAATAGTGGCGGAGCTACACAAGATTGGTTGGGGGGGGCAAGAGAGAAAATGTCCAATTCTAAGGGGGCAAAAGCTGTATTTTTTCCAATCTGC